AAAGTGAGCACTATAAAAAAGTTTTCCTTTCAACCACGCCCCCTTTGAGTAAAAAAAAAAGAAGAAGAGGATTCGCGAGGAATAAATGGCATCTCACATCATTCCCCCCTTTCGAGTAAGAAAATTTTTGGGGAAAATTGGTAAAATTGGGGGGAAAAAAAGGAAAAATAGGGAAGAATAGAGAAAATAAGGGGGAAATCGGGAAAATAGGGAAGAAAAAAGAATCTGGTAAAAAAAAAAAAAACGGGAAACCGATTTAAATTGTTTTTTTTTATCAAGCCTGCACATTTCTAGAAAGTTCAGTTTCTGCCCTTTCATATGACACCTCAATCAGGAAAAATGAGCAAGGAATAACAAAGTTCTGTTTGTTTAAAATGATGCCTGCATTTCCATAATTTGATTTAAAAAGTTCGTTTTCATTAGCTGCCTGCCGTAGCAACAAGCAAAATTGACAAAAGACTTAACTCCGTTTCATTGACAATCAGCCATGCATGAAGCCTTTCGTCTATGTCTGATCATCAATAGGGACTTTTAGATTTACACGACGAGAACGTGGACCGCCACATGTGACATCCTTTTAAGGTAATGTGACGTCCTTTTAAGGTACTGCCGGGCACGGCTAAGTGCCTTAAAGTAGATATTCATTGATTTTAAAAACTAACTTTACTTTCATTATTGCAAAGTTGAAACTTTGATTCGACAAGGTTATCAAAATTCAATGCTTGTAAGCATTCGAAGTAATGATTATCATAAATTACAAAAGGCTTAAATACAGCCCCGGCGTAGCACCTGAAGAACTCTCCGAACGCTGCTGAGATGTGTGAGATCACAGTATGGACATGATTTGCACAAGCAGACGATGTCCCATGACATCTCACACATTTTCAGTGCCTGTGTTTTCATCTTCTCTTGAGTTCTTTCTCTTACTTCAGTACCGTCAGGCTAAATGTATAATCTATTGCCTCACTCTAAACCCCGCACATGTTTTTATTTTGATGACAAATGCAGCGATACAAAAATAAAGGAATCTGTCGCTTGTAAACAAAATAAGACGCCATTGTATATTCAGCTGCACACACCCTGGTATGTTCGGCGTTTCAAGAGGGAACAAATGCGGTCCTTAATATCATTCCGGGGGTTTTTTAAATTGAAAGTCTGGTTTCTTTGATTGTTAATTAACCCCTATCCTGTGTATTTACAAGCAAAAAATTTTAGTTATCAGAATCGGGTCATATCCCCTTTTGAATGGTTTGACATGCCATTACATGTATATACACTGAACTCATTATAATTTGACAAATACTAGCTTTGCACTTATGTTCATTCTTTATGGGATGTCGTCTGCTTGGGCAGTATTGGTCCATATAGTGACGTCATTAAACATATTTTTCCGGCGAATCTCTCGTATATTTCCCAGCTGCTACGGAGATGGTTGTATTTGTATTTTTATAAATCACCCGATATGTAGTTGACCTAAAACTTGTACGATGGCCATCTGTTAGCTTACCAGTTTCTAGTGATACATTAGTTGACATATTTGTGACTTTCTTTGAATTTCACCTTTAACACAATGTCACACGCGGCAGTCCACGCTCTCGTCGTGTTAATCTAAAAGTCCCTAATTAAACGGAGTTAAGTCTTTTGTCAATTCCGTTTGTTGCTACGGCAGGCAGCCAGTGAAAACGAATTCGTTTAATCAAATTATGGAAATGCAAGCATCACGTTAAACAAATAGAACTTTGTTATTCCTGGCTCATTTTTCCTGATCGAGGTGTCATATGAAAGAACAGAAACTGAAATGTGAATTTTTCTTTGAAATTCAGATACCGCCCGCCAAATGACTTTTACGTTTCCTTCTTTAAAATTGCTTTTAACGACTCATGCGTAAAATATGCATCATATGAGTCGCATTAAATGAAAGAGGAGGATCTAAGCTTTACAAAAATGTGTCATTTATTAATTATAATTGTGATTAAGTTATGATAAAACATCGATAATTCTCGGCTTCATTTTTTTGGGGTCGCACTGCGACATTTGAAGGCTTTAAAATCATGAATTGGAAGTAACGCAAAAGAGATTTGCCCCTCTGCAACCATAAAGAGGAACGATTTTGTAAACGAATGGCTCTACGTAGCTTTTGAAGAACATGGACAATTGAATAATACATTGGGTTAAAAATGAAAGGACCATATATTCCAAGGCATGGATACATTATAGTTTCTTATGTGCAACATTTCTTCAAAACTGTTTATCCGATTTGAAACGAATGAGTATGACCATTACAATGATTTCTTAATAGCTTCGTGAAGACTTTGATTCATCAAGTAGCATTAATACTGGCTATTAGAATTAAGGGCTTTTCTCCAACCTTTTCCATCCCAGGAAGGTCCGCATTCATCTGAAGGTGAATCTCAAATACTTGTCTTCTCTCTATCATGTCTGGGATGTAGGTGGTGCACATAAGTTGATGTCGGATCACCCGTTGTTCAAAAGGAACCAGAACCCACCAATCAGCACAGTGACGTATGTACAGATCAAGATGTCTCCGGTACACTCTGCAGTGCGGTGGTTCGTCTGGTGAGTTGGACGATCTCTTTCTTGATATTATTGGTAGATCTGGTGTCAGTGGGTTACAAAATGAAATGCGCTTGTTGTTTATTGTATTTATTTATTTATTTATTTCTTATCTTTTGACAGGGTAGCTCATTCACCAACAAGTAGTGGTCTGACATGGGGCCCTGAATAAACATGAACATATTTACATCGTTTATAACGTTTATACAGCAAAGTTAAACAAATAATACTCGTTTGTAAAATAAACATATATCATTAACCTAGTAAACAGTAATGTCAATAGGAAAATATTGATTAAGTCGCAATTATGTGAATAATTCATGTTAATATTACAGAACATGCACGTAGTGTATGTTCGGCTGAGCCATTCACAAATTACAACTTTGTTTAAACAATTTTTTAAAATTAATTGACAGAGGAAGCCGTTCTCAACGAATTATCTAGCTTATTCCATTCAAATATGGAAGAAACAATTGGGCTACACTTATAACAATCAGTGTGAAATCTAGGCACACGTAAACATCCACTGTCTATTTGCCTTGTATGATGCTCATGTACATCATTAGGATTAATTAAGCCTACCTGAAGGTATCTTGTGAGATGAAACACCCGCACCAGCACGAGTGCTCTTATTTATAGGGGTCCACTCACAATATAAACGAACTGAAACAATGTCGTTGGGAAATGTTTCTTCGCTAGGGAGCCGATTAGACTTCAAATATTTCTATCTATAGTAGATGCCCTTTTCAAGAATAGTATTTTTAAAAGGTTTTAAATTTAAGAAGCCATATTAAAAAGCACCTACTCCCCCTTAACCTCTACCTCTTTTTTGAAACTTTCCACGGATACATGTCAGTTGCAAATTGTTCCTCACGACGTTTTGGCACTGTGAAGACAACGAGCTAAGAGCTTGAACTACTCAGCCTGGGAACACTTTAAAGGTGTTCAAAGACCACAATTAGAATTCAAGAGTCAAGGCTGATTGTCTTTATCAATACCCCCGATGGTGGCCTATACTACCAGCAATCAGGAAGAAGAATGTAATATATTGGAAATACAAGTTTTCTCTTGGTTTAACGTTATACTGACGATGAGTGCTTCTTGCAAAGAGCCGCCGACCTCCTCATGTGGGCACTTGCTCTACAATGTCTCATAAATACAACATGCTTTGCTTGGCATGCTAAAAATTGATCTAGGTTTCTCATTTTCCATTCATCCCAGCATTAAAAATGAGTAATTTCTTGAATGTGATCGACCCTATAAACTTACTCTTGACTGAATCCCACTCACGGGAAATGATGTCTGGCTTCACTAGATCAGGGTTCACGACCAAGGAAGAGAGAGGTATTCTGATCTTAACAGGTTGCTGGAAGATCATGGTTGGTGGTTCACATCTGATCCCAAAGCAGGCCATTGATTCGTCATTTTGGATGTCAACATTGGGAAGGTCTCTTAAGAGGGTTATGGTGATCTTGCACGAGTCATTCTGATGAACAGCATTCGGAGGAATAAACAGTGATACGTCATGGTCTTCTAGTTTGATTTCCTGACTTGCATTCCCTTTCACTTGACCAGAGGCGATGGCAGGTGCTGATGGTTCATCTTTAGTTTTGTTAACCATAAGGAAATATAATAACATATACAGCACTAAGCAAATGTTTATGCGGATTGGGACAGTCAATGGAATGAAATACCACTATATAAATGGACTTTTCATCTCAATTTTGTTCACAAAAATTATTGATTTTATTACAATTTTCAAAGGTTGTGTTCATTACCCAAACACTGACGTTCCATCCTTGTTCGTTATATTTGAAATAGGGTAAATCAATAAATTATTATCCATATTGCTTTTCAATTCATATATCTTTTTAAAATTTATTTTAGTTTTTTTGTTGTTGTTGGGGGGAGCTTATGAAACCTGTATCTCTCCGTTTGGGTCCTTCGTGTAAACCTGAGATGCAGGTATACATACATTGATTAAGATTTAGTGTTCATCACAGTATGTGGCTCAGTTGTGTAAGCGGTTAAGTAAATGACCCAGTCAATGAATTATCAAACTCCTTGTTCCTTCGTGAAGAAAAACTAAATATAATCATCGCTACACTTTAATCTGCGACTTAATGAATAAGGACAAAAATAGAAGTACTTATTGAGAATTTACACTGAGAAAATGTGTATGTGTTTGAAGGATGTTCTTACCTCGATAAGACTGGATCTCTTCAAAGGATTGTATTCTGAAATGAATTATTTTTAAGAAAGTGGTTTATGCCTTTACTATACGATGTGAAAATATGTTTTCGTTTCCACTCATGAAAAATGATATAAATGACATAGGAAATCAAAAGAGCAAGATAGAAAAAAATGCATTACGTTCCGTTTTAAATTTTGTTTTCGCCTTCTTACAAATATTAGACTCAAACGAATCACCTGGCAAAAATCATCTGTTTGATTTCTTCGTCCTTGGCGTAATGGATTGGTAGGTTGCCTCCCTCATCCTTCACATCTGACTTGGCTCCATTCTCCAGGAGATAAAACACCAAGGACTTCTCATCAGATAGTTCGCCATTGTAATACTCATCAGAGATCTGAAACATACGAACATAAATCTTTTATATTAGACCATTGTCGTCCATCAATAGTCAGGGTGAATGTGCTCCAAAAGCATAATTTATGCAGCCTCTTGGATTCACAGTAATAGTATACAAATATACAAATATACACTGTCTTGAGAGGTTCTGGTTAAAACTATGCGCAAGAGGTGACTCCAATAGTACTATTTGCTGAGGGGCACAGCCTCGAAGCAAATGGTACTTTTGGAGTCACCGAGGCCCATAGTTTAAACCAGTACCTCCAATAGAAGGCATGGTATACTATTTGTATATACTGCATCAAACAAATAATTTAAAAAAAATAAAACAATTTTGTGGAAAAAAAATATATCAATTTTTATCAACAAAGATTTAAAATTTTAGTTTTCGTTAAATTAAGATTTGAAAAAGAAAATATTGATTCATACAAAATTTACATTTTTTGTCAACTCCCAAATAGTACTCCCAAATAGAACTCTCATATAGTACTTTTTCAGAGCAACCTTGAAATAGTTGAAATATTTCTGGTCACCTGACGAGCTCTCAACCAATCAAAAACCAATAATTTTTTGATGCATGATATAATAATGCCTATTGACATTGTAAATCCCCAATACACAGACACACACAGACACACACACGCACGCACACGCACACACACACAATTTCCTGGACCTATCATGGGAATCCATTTCTTGATTTACCAATTATTTACAGAAGCGATATATTTCAGTAACACCGCCATAACGATTCTATGCAAATGTAAAAAGCTACCATTATTTGGCGGTTAGGGAGAATATATTATGTAGCTCGTACTCTCATCGGCCAGGTGTCTGTCTCGTTGGTGTTATTGGGGTATGACTCACCTCTTTTAGTGTATCTGTTTCTTGCACACTTTTCCCACTCTCATAGCAGAGTTTAATGGCCTCATGTAGACACGTCCGGCCATCAGTTGACTGAACATTGAGATCAGCTCCCTTAGAGACTAACTTCTCAATGGTAGAGGTATGACCGTTCTGCGTAGCATGATGGATATACGGGAAATCGGTACCGTCGAGCTGGATGAAAAGAAAATACACAGCACGAAAACTTGGTAATTAAAAAAACGATTGCTAAGAACTGATACTGACAGGTGATCAAATTAAATGCAATGCTTCGAGTACCTTTTTAGCGATCACTGTAACTTAAAAGAAAGTCTAAGAAATATGACTGAGGTCAAACTTGTATGCTTAAACATATAATAGTGGTGAGTAGTAAGTCAGGCACAAGCAAGTCAAGTCTGGGTACATGATGAAAGGTAATCTAAGCCTTATATCCACTAAATTGAATCTCAGTACTTCTTACGTGACATGTATGAATTGTACGGTGGAAGATCAAGGTGGATACATTTGACGTTTGTGTGTGCTTAAAATATTTACCTTGAAATTCAAACGGTCGATGAAGTAATCAGCGATGCTTTGGTACCCGAGTATTAAAGACAGTTGTAGGGGTGTCTGTCCGCGAATGTCTGCGATGTCAAATCGTGCTCCTCCTGCCAACAGTACTTCGACAACCTCAATGTGACCTTTCTGAACAGCATGGTGTAATGGAGTCCAGCCTTCATTATCTCCCTTATTCACCTCAGCTCCTTGACGAATGAGGTATGTGGTGACATCAAGATTACCACACTCTACCGCATTGTGTAATGCGGTCCAGCCTGCATTATCGCTCTTATTCACCTCAGCTCCTTGACTAATGAGGTATGTAGTGACATCAAGATTACCACACTCTGCCGCATGGTGTAATGCGGTCCAGCCTGCATTATCGCTCTTATTCACCTCAGCTCCTTGATTAATGAAGTATTTGGAGACATCAGGATGACCCTGTTGAGCAGACCGGTGCAAAGCTGAGCCACCATCGGTTGTGTTTTCATTTACATCAGTTCCCGGGCTGATCAGATATTTGGTGACATTGAGATGACCGTTTTTAGCAGCAACGTGTAATGCAGTTTGACCGTTATCATCTCCACTATTCACGTCAGCTCCTTGACTGATTAGATATTCGGTGACATCACGATGACCCCACTCTGCCCCAATGTGTAATGCGGTCTCGCCGGCATTAGCTCTCTTATTCACCTCAGCTCCTTGACTAATGAGGTATGTGGTGACATCAAGATCGCCCACTATACCGCAACAGTGCAAAGCTGCGCTACCATCTCTTCTGTTCTTATTCACATCAGCTCCTTGACTGATCAGATATTTGGTGACACGATTATGACGTTTCAAAATAGCAATGTGTAATGCAGTCCAACCGTCATTCTCTCCCAAATTCACTTCAGCTCCTTCACTGATTAGATGTTCGGTAACATCAAGATGACCCTCTTGAGCAGACCAGTATAAAGCTGTGCGACCATCTGTTCTGCTTTGATTTACCTCAGCTCCTTGGGTTATTAGATATTTGGTGACATCAAGATGACCGTTCTTAGCAGCATTGTGTAATGCCGTGAGGCCATCATCCTTTCCCCTGTTCACCTCAGCTCCTTGACTGATCAGATATTTGGTGACCTCAAGATGACCATTCTTAGCAGCACTGTGTAATGCAGTCCATCCCTTCTTATCTCTCCTATTCACCTCAGCTCCTTGACTGATCAGATATTCGATGACGTCAAGACGACCATTCTTAGCCGCATGGTGTAATGAAGTCCATCCCTTCTTATCTCCCTCAGCTCCTTGACTAATGAGGTATTTATCGACATCAATATATCTCGAAGCAGCACTGTGTAATGCGGTCCAACCCTTATTATCTCCCATTATTCACCTCAGCTCCTTGACATATCAGATAAATATTCAGCGTTCTCAAGACGACTGTTCGTAGCAGCACTGAATAGAGTCCGACCATGAATATCTATTCCTTAATTCACGTCAGCTCCTTGGCTTATCAGATTTATGTTGACTTCAAGATGATCCTTCCCTATTTCAAGGTGTACATGCAGTCCATACACTGCTTTTGATGTCTTTGTTCTTTGATAATGATGATGATGCTGTTCACTCTGTAAATTAATACGATTTCCAATAATAAATCTCTACGAGAATAGATGCATTTTATGCTGACTTTAACCAGATAGATGTATAGATGTATAAGGGATAGAGCAACGTCGATCTGGCGCTGCTTAGTGGCTGCCGGGCTCACGATTAATTGGGCCAAAAGAATTTTCATTTCGGTTTGATAACATTTGGAGTGGACTAAAAGATTATTATTACTATTATTACTATTACTATTATAATAGGGGCTGGGTGGCTTGACACTTGACAACCATAACGACTTCTCTTTTGCCTTCAGATTTGATGGAAAATAATGTATCAAATAGCACTAACCATCATAAATAATTTTCTTTTATAATATTTTTCATCAAAGGTCTTAAAACGATTTATGAAATATTAGTTGTAAACTTCGTCAAATCGCTGTTTAAAATCAACTGGCCGTATACAAAACTTGTCCGGACACACAGCGTCTGTAATTGTGATCATATCACCAAATATTCCTGCCTAAATATATATTTCCGCTACATATAATCATGGTATCTGAGAATGCAGGTACACCAGTTCACTATATTCTTTAACATTTCAACTCAACAAGGGCTTAAATAGCCTTTAAGACCTTCAATACTACTGGGCCAGAAGGGATTAGACTACATAGCGAGGTCACCGACAGATATGGCCATCTCATTAACTCAGCTCTCAACTAACATAAGAAAAAGAGGATCATGGGGGACCAACAGGCAACGATTGGGGAGGTTTTCTATATAGAGGGAGCAAGTAGCTACAAGTAGGACAGCGGGGCTTTAACAAGAATGCACTTATCTGTGCTTAACTCACAATACATTTATTTATGACCCTCTAGGTACGCAATACAATATCAATACATATTCTACCTGAATTCGTCTGTGTAAAAGTAACATAAATATGTCATAGTGTTATGGTTGCCCGACACAATACCCCTAACTTTTGTATCAAACAATAACCTATAGTCATTTTGTCTTAACCCTAATAAGGCCGGGGGGGGGGGGCCATTATGGCCCCCCCCTCCACAATTTTTCCGATTGCTCGGGAACGCATATGGATGGCGCCCCGCCGCTCGCTGACTTTTTTCTTTCGAGTCTTGCGCAACTTTTAAAATATTTTTTTTGAAAATCGGAGCTACGGTTACAAGGTCACGTGACCTTTTGTCTTCGCATGTCAGCCTGAAAATCGCTCATTTTCGTGATTTGTGTACAAAACGTATGGCAAAGTCATTTTTCCTAAAAACAGATCAAACATGGGTTATTGGGTCTTGTTTAAAGTTTAGGTGGTTGTTTTGGGAGTCAAAATAGTTTAATTGTAGTAAAAGAAGAAATAAAACAACGAAAACAATGAAATACATGAGTTAAAAAAACAAAGAAATACATAAGAAATTATCAAAACAAGGGATAACATAAGAAATAAGCTGGCCATTCCAAATTTTTTGTTATATTATTATTCAGAATGGTCTAATGAATATATCTAGTAAAAAAGAATGCTTAAATATGAATAATATATGATTTATTGGTAAAAATGTAATTTTCATGACTTTATTTGCATAAATTACCATAAATATGCAAATGAGTGAATTTTTCAAAAAATTGAAATTATCATATTATTCGTTACACTTCACTTGACATGCGTGCAAATTTTCGCGGCGATCGGCCGCTTCGCGGCCGAGATCTTGAGGGGGGGCCATAATGGCCCCCCCCCGGCCCTACTAAGACTTCAAATAGCCCGGCCTTATTAGGGTTAATAGTTAATACTGTTGTAAATGTAAATCTAGTGCCCTTTCACACCTTAATTCGTGCGCACTGACTTTCAAGGACCCGGTACATAATTATACATGTGTATGCCCAAATGGCTCACGACATACGTCAGTCATGTGAGCTAATAACGTAATGGGAATCGCGAAACTTGCCTAAATTTGAAGACAAAACTATTATATACATTTATACAACACCTACGTGGATCCTTGTCATTTGATTGGAGGATTGTTGGTCACATGATATTCAATAGATGTTCTATTGCACGGGCGTGCATTTTTGGTTATATTCGCCGTGCATTTTTGGTAATTTGTTATATTTTTGGTTTGACCACGTACCTCTCTGCCGTGCGCGTATCGCTGCGTGTATCTGACGCGAAGGCAATCTGAATGTAGATAGATAGATAGATAATGGTTTTATTGAGAATAAAAATACAACAATGCATCGCAGCCTACAAGGCCGAATTGGGCAATGTTTTACAAATGTAAAATACAGTATATAAAAACATTCATATCAAATAACCTCAAATTAATGAACTAAACTTGAATGAGTAGATTGTTAAAAAAATTAAAATAACTTTAAAATGCTTATTTCTTATTATGTGATCTCCCTAACTCATTTTATATATAAGGGAGATAAAGAGAAGTGAAGAAGAACATGATGGTGATGTAGAGTAAAGAAAGCAAAGACAAGAGGATGGTAAGATTAATAGGAGGATGAAGAGGAAGGAGAAGAGAACAAGTAGAAGAGAAGGAGGAAGAAGAAGAAGAAGATTCAAGTAGGGATAGTAAGATGATAGACAGAGGGTAGTGCGAATAGTAACACTATCATAATGTATCGATATCAATATTCAAGCATTACACATTATACAAACTACTAATGATATAGGCGAAGTTATGAAGAAAATAAATACTTATATGAAAAATGCACGAATTAAAAAAAAAAATTACTCTAGGTAATAGCTACTCTAAGGAAAAGTTAAGTTATAACATTTCAACCAGACTATAACAAAGGAGAACCATTATAAGAAGCAAAAACAAAAGGAGAAAGAGGGAGAAGAGGATTGAGAAGTAAGGATAAGGGTGAGATGAAGAAAGGAGGTGGGAAAGTACAAGTATAGAGGAAGAGGAGACAACTGTAACATTGGCCATGGAAGATAATTTCAGTCATTTAAACAATTAAAATGGAATGGTTAAACCCGGATTTTTAACTTCGGTACAGAAAATGTAGTGATTCTATTATACAGATACAAAGATTAGACCCCAGTATAAATATAAAATTGGTATATGAATATAAATGTATAAAAAACAAATTGCATAAAAAGTTGATTTCATACTTTGTCTGTATCAGTAATTGAAACCATAGTTTTCCTTGTATTGCACTTATGGGATTGCATCACAACTATAATATTGGTAGTATTACAAAAATAAAAGTAGATTTCTTGTTAACTAGAATTGTAGATGCGTACAAGTGATGGTATGGGGCTGTTTTTCACTCTGTTTGTTCGGCAACGTAGTTCAGGTAATTTCTTAGTATGTCTTAGGACTCTTTTCTGAGTAATCTGGGGTAAGATGTTCTTTAATTGGTTCCTGGAAATACTTTTTCCAATGAAAGAGGTGCACAGCGAATGTCTCCTTTGCTCAAGTGTTTTCATATCAAAGCATGTAAGAACGTTCTGGTAAGTAGTATACCGAGCACCAACGATGATGCGGAGGGCTCGCTTTTGGATTTTTTCTAAGCTTTCGCATTGTTTATTGGTGATTCCGCTATTCCAAACCGGTGTCCCATATTCTAGGGGGCCGAACATATCCATCATATAATATATGGTTATGGTGTGGTTATGGTTAACAAATCGCGAACTGGAAGGCAGTGCCTTTTTAAGATACGTAGCATGTCAAGTTTTCCATTTGCTCTTTTGATGATATCTGTAACATTTGATTCCCATTTCAAGTCACTTTGGATCAGAATGCCGAGAAGCTTTATAGTATTGACGGATTGTAGTTCTAGACCGTCAACGCGAATTGCGGGTAGGACAGTAGGATTTCGTGAGAAATTGACTTCCATTGCAAAACACTTTGTGGCGTTCAGTTTCATGTGGTTGGCCTCTGACCAAGAGGCGAGATCAGTGACGGCACTCTGCATGTAACCGAGAAGGCTTGACTCCAACTTTAATTTATCTTTAATATAAGGAGTAAAGCATAATTTGTTGATTAACGTTTTATTAGATCTTCTTCGATGTTGTATAAAACAAATAATGAATGTTTTTCATTCGTTTATTATTTGTATACATATTGTATACTTAATCACTACAAATCGTACTTAATATTGTTTTTATTTTAATTGTCTTAAATACAAGATTAGATGTCAATTGACAACGATGGGCTTGTACAGGATCCTTACGGAAAGATAGGAATGTTGGTAGATTGATGTCGAGAATCATCGATAATTTGTTTAATATGTTCGTTTCCTAGCTACTGCATCCTAGGCTTAGGTCGTCTTAGTGCACGCGCAGCTCCCTTTGAATTTAACGTCAAAATTAATATGTGGCGATTCCGATATCGCCCCAAACACGCTATGTATGTCCGCTATTACCCGGAGGTTTCCCCGGTACACGAAGTCCATGCATCGTCTACAACATCATACGTTCGCTACCTTATCCATATTCGATTCGCTCGTTATTATCTTCAATTTTTACATCTTGTAGATACAAATAATTCGCTAGGGCACTATGGGAAATCCTCATTTAAAAGAATATCTTGCTGATGGGGGAGACTCCATCACCCTCCCCACTCTGACTGTCTCTCTCTCTCTCTCTCTCTCTCTCCCTCCCTCCCTATACTCCCTTCCTTGGCCCTTTCTCTCTCGTACTGACCCCATATATATCTCAGCTATGTACGAATACATGCATTACATATCCAATGTATGTATTTGTTGTTATATAAGATGACATACTAGTGTGCCATATTGCTCCCTTTTGAATATGAATAT